CATTACTGAATAAAAATAGGAATATTCAATTGACAAGGTTTCTTCTATTATTAGTAATCACAAATAAAGACGAAAAGTTATACGTGTATATAATATATACTTAAACATTGAGAAAACAAAATGTAAGCGATGTATAGAATGTATCATCTATTTATACTAGCGTTCGGCAACAGAACACAGAACGAAAAAAAGACAATAGCTTTAGTCAATACATATTATATGTGATATATAGCGCAACTATTCTCTAATGTGGATAGAAAAGAAATTAGAAATTAGCTTTCCTTTTTCATAGAACAGAGAAAAGCTATGTTATTGTAATACATTCAAGATTTTCTCGAATAATCCAATTAGTTACAAAGTTTATGATTTCGGTTTGAAAAGTACCTTATTTTATATCATGATTAGGCCATAAAAAAGGATTATTGCTTACTCAAACATAGAATATAGTCGTGAGACTATCGTAGAACGCTTTAATTTTAATTTTTGTAGGGAAAAACGATTTTTAAAATTTTTGTCCCTTTTCGGCCGGATGTTGCCAAATGGCAACATAATTGAATTTTATAATCCTGGCACAATCAGTAATTCGTATTAAGAGTGTTATAAATAGCAACTGTACCAAGGAAAATTATCAACCAGTCATATCTGACGTTAGGTATTTCAGGTTGCAGGAAAATATATTATAAGGATTCAGCTACACTTTAGGGACCTTACTTGATGACTGAGTCAATACTACAGAAAGAAATTTTTTAAACCTCTATGATACCCGATTGACGTCGAAATCTATTACGGTAATTATCAAATTATCAAAACAATATATGGCATTACTTTAAGAGAGCCTTTCGTCATATATTGACTGAATATTGCCAAATGGCAACATCCGGCTGGAAAGGGTTAATTAAAATCGAGTATCCAAAAAACAATCGATTAACAATGAAGAATAGATGAGAGTTGCTTAGAAAGGAATGATAGATTTGGATCCATGAAGAACCTATTGTAATGGAATTCCAAGGAAGGACATAATCGATTTTAATCAAATTCATAAACGTAAAAGAATCGTTTGAAATCTGAGTTTTTTGTCGTAGTTTTTTTGATGCATAGGTTATATCAATGCTTATTTATACATATCATTTTAATTATTATTCTAGCCATTCACTACTATGGAAGAAGTTCGTCCTTTTACTAGTTATTCTTGTTTGGTTTTATATAATTTCAACGATTGTATTGCCATTCTTCTTGGATAGCAAGCCAATGAAAATAATTCGTCAAGGTACATGATCTTGTATTTGATTATTCGAAGACAATATTGAATTTTATCTTTAAATAACAGATAATGATCGTTGGTGTCTGACCCTATATTGCATCAAATCAGGTTAGATGTTTTACGATGAAAATAAATATTATTTTATCTTTTTAGCTAATTACTTACTCGAGAGTATGAATGAGACTGTCGAACCATGTGAAAACTTTTACGAGTTTACCTGTGGTAGATGGCTGAAAAACACAAAAATACCAGATGATGGTCTGTTCTTTTATTAGATGATTAATTCATTGAATTAATTCTATTGATAAATCATAGTTAGAAATCAAGATTCATTTCAAATGATGCAAGATCAATTGGACAACATTCTTATCAGTAAAGGTTGTTATTCATATCATTTAATTACTTTCGCAGTCTTTTTAGATCTTCTTTCTTTCTTACCGTCGAATAAAACTAATGAGCCTAAAGCAATTACCAACGTTCATCGCCTATATGCTTCTTGTATTAATGAAAATGCTATCGAAAGGACTAGTGTTAATGTAATACTTTCATTTATCAATACAGAACTTGGTGGATGGCCTATTTTACAAGGTTCAACATGGAACTATAGCACATTTGACTTTTCTCGTCTACTACTTAAACTACACGAATATAATAAAGATGTTATCTACCATATAAACACAAAAATTGATATGATAAACTCGTCCGTTTATTGTATTCGAGTAAGAAAAGTAATTATGTACTGAATAGGATCAAAGATCCTCATGCTTTAGATTGGACAAAGTGATCTTGGTTTAGAACATCGCAATTACTATCTTAAAGAGAATAGAGTTACTAAAGCTTATCAAAATTTTATGCGAAACGTGGCTCTCGAATTGACTAATTTCACGTCAATGATTGACAAAGATGTTACTGATATATTCGAATTCGAAAAAAAGATTGCCAAAGTAATTTTCTATCTTCTAGTAGATATTTTTTATCTCGATTCTCCAAAAACAGTATCATTCGACAACAGATGAACAGCGTGCTCGAATTTTTGAAAATATCCGCACAACAATTGCTAATCTTTCTCAAACAGCCAATACCAATGTGAGTCTGTCTCTTTCTCAATCTTTTTGACTTGCAAAGTCTTTCTCATTTAGTTTGACTTTACCAATTATCTTCGTCGTGCATATCTATTGGCAAATGTGACCCTCGTTGATACAGATATAGTGTTCATGAGCGAAATCGATTTTGTACGAAATGTATCATTGATTATTGATCAAGAGTCACCACGTACATTACAAAATTATATTATATGGCGTTTCATAATGAGTCAAATTGACAATATGCCTAACAGATTTCGCAGTATCAAACAAGAATTCAATAAAATATTTCGAGAAATCACTACTGAACGACCACGTACTATCACATGTGCGACTTACGTTAATAACAATATGGGATTTGCTGTTTCGAAACTTTATATCAATAAATACATTAACAAAGATGCTCGCAATCAAGTATTATAACAATAGTTCATAATATCTCTCTCTGTCTTTTATTCTCTGATAGGCCCTCGAAATGATGAAGAATATTCGAAATGTTTTTATTGATCTGCTCAATCAATCCATATGGATGGATTCTGTCTCAAAAAGC